ATGTCAAAAAAATAATCTAGGTCAACGAGGATTCTTATGCCTGCGAGATACTATCGCCATTGTTAAATATAATAATTTACCGGTTGATTCTAATACGTATAGTGATGGTAGCCGAAACTACCTTACTTAGTGGGCCGAAATTAATTGGCCTAAATTTGGGCGAAACTAATTGGGCAAAGTTTTTTAAAATAAAAGAGATTGATTTAGATACTTATTATATGTTACTATAAAAAATATTGGGGTTACCATAATATCGGGCGAAACTATCTTTTTTTCAAAAACAGTTTCGGCCACCATCACTATTCTAATATATGGGTAAATTACATTATTGTGTTATTCTATATTAATGTAGAGAAAAGTCAAGGGTTCTGTGCTGATCTGATTTTTCAGTTATTGTTAAGATATCTCAAACGGCACTTATGGGGTCATAAAATGACAACCAAATAGATGTATTCTTGGATCTTGTTGTAGAATTTTCCGCCGCGCAGAAACAAGTCGACAAGGAGTATTAAACAAATCAATACTTTGCAACGTATCTTGGATAAGATATACAAAATTACATACTAGATTTTAATTCTCGTTCTAGACCTAATAGATTGATTGCAGTTTCTGCGAATAAAAGTTTATAACACGCAATTATCCTGTACTGTATTTTACCTGGTCCTATACTATCAAAAGGCATACTTGTCCCTGTTTTCTACTGTGCATAGCAGGACTATGGGTATACATCGGTGGAGCTTTATTTAACCTTTAAAGAAAAGCAGTTGCAATTATTCAAGTCTGTTTCAAGCTCTATCTCCCTACAAAAAGTTTAGACTTTTTAATTTCTACTTGTTTTTTACAATATAAATGAATGTAACTCCCAAAACATATTTGAAAAAAAAAAAATATACTTGTTTTATCATTAAAACATTCTTGATTTTTACAGTAATAAAAAAATAATAATAAGTGTGCTTTATTATTAACTACTATTAAAGGTAACACATGCAATATGTATTTCTAAAAACCCCCGAATCTATTGGTTTAACGATCGATCTGTCAAAAAAGAGACAATCCATCAACTTTGATTATTATTTATTAATTCTTATTATCTTAATAATAACAATATTATTTAATATGCTATATATTACTCTTAATAATACACAAAGAATTGTTATTATTTATTTTTAAAAAAATATAATTTATTTAACATCAAGATATTCTAGCTTGATTAATTATTTATAATTATTAAATTCTTTCTTTGTATAAAATTGTTTGATCTTAATAAAAAAATGTTCTTTTTAGAATAAAATAACATCCTCCTTCTTAAAATACTTGAAAAAAATTCTATCAAGTTCCGATT